GGCACATCTTACACTGTAACCTAGGACAATACTATAGATTGTATTTAAGAATAAGGCTATGCAACGTAGAGCTGTTTTGGAAGGCAGTTCTTGCAATAATGTTGGAAAGCGGTTTTTTCCACTTTCACCTAAGTTTAACTCAGAAAACCAGAACCACAAACTTGTAGGCAAAAACACAAGATAGATTAGAAATTAAGCATTTTTGCAAAAGTAATATAAAATTTATCTTTCTACCTCTCTAACACAGATAAAATTCCCCACAAAAAACTTAAACCCCAAATCCTACTTCCCTTCCAAATGCATAGCTATAGAAAGGATACTTTTTTCTTTATAAATAACTCCCAATCCCAGGTTCAAATCCTCATAAACGCAGGCTGTCTCAAACTGTTGAATGATCTATGCCTAAATTACTTAGGCAGGGGAGAAGTGTATGGGCCGACCCAAGAGAATTCACAAGCATTTTAGAGCCTATCAACATCTTACTGCATTTACCAGACAACGTGAATACCAATACCCTGCAATTTAGTGCTGACCCAAGCGCATAAGGAAAAGGATGAGTGACTACACTGAGAACAAGCGGCCAATCTACCTTGAAGACTATTTGCTTTTGATTCTATAAATAAGAGAAAGGTAGCACAAATACAGAATACCATCATCTTTCCCCCTTCACCTCTCTTCATTTCAAACCTTACTGACAAAAATAAAGCATTCTGTTTGCTACTTTCTTCTTCGACTCCTGTGGCCATTAGTGGTGAGTGAAACTCCCCAGGACAACAATCCATACTAGGATTGCAAGACTACTCAACGAGGAAAACATGTGCTACTTTGAGCAGAGGTTTTTACGGAACTGAAGCCTACTGCAGATACTGCCTGATCTGAAAAAATGAGATACATTTACACCAGCACACTTGCTGCAGTGGCACAGATTTGTAACAATTGTAATGAAAGACATAATTAAAGTGGGATCATAGAAGTCTTACGACATTTATGAACTAAGATATTTTAAAATCTTCAAATATCTACCATGCTTCACATTCAAATTAAAATTTCATGTATATACTCCCAATAGACCTTTTGTCATGCAGAAGTTTATTTCTTTCTGCCCTACTCTATTCAATGTGTCAGAGCACAGTAAAATTGACAGTAATTATATGCAAAGCCTGTGTCGTTCTTTGGCAGCTCCTGGTCTAAGAAGTTACAAACCTAAATTAGAAGCACGCTTAGAATCACAGAAGATGCAATTAGCACTGGAAAAATTTGGCACCGTTCAGATGCTTAAAAACTCCACAAGTAGCATCTTATGAAGTTGACAGTGCAATTAATTTAGATCTAACAGCAGCAATTTAACATCAAATACATCCATGATAAGATACCAACACACAGGCAGCACTGCAACCCTGACAAACCAAGCTGGAGCTACTCCTTACCTGCCTGGATGATGAGCTTTGCACATTCATTACACGGAAATAAGGCAACATACATGCTGCAGCCTTTTACATCAGCTGAGTTTTTGTTCATGATGGCATTCAATTCGGCATGGCACACTGATTTTAAAAAAAAAAAGAAAAAGGAACCAATTCATAACACTTCATTAAAATAAATCAGTCAAACTAAAATTAAAGTGTTACAACAGAACTGCTTACATCCTTTCAAAGGCAAATAGCTTGCACAGCTTGTCATAAAGGGCAGAGGAAGAAATAAAAGCAGAAATACCAAGATCAGTGAAGGTCAATTGTTCTGACCAGGCTGCCGATTAGTAATGATATCATTAAGCGCATTAGCATTGCCATTTGCTAACACCTATTGCAGGCAACAAAGCCGTAGGCTGTGGGCCAAGTAGCTGCAACCACCCTCACCGAAGCCATGTCTCACAGCTTCACAACTCTCAGGAGTATCTAATTGCCAGTATAAAACAGCTCATTTATGTGTTTACATGCACAGGTAGGAACAGTCTTACGGTTGTAAGAGCACGCTGTGCACTCTTACAGGCAGGAGAATCACGAAGTAACAACCGAGCAGCTCCGTCCTCTGAGTCTCAGAACGGCTCAGCGCTGCTGCATGATTCTCTCACCCCAAGAATACACAAGACACACTCAACCATAAAAATGCCCAGCTTTAATATTAAAGTGAGTTTACTGCTCATTAAAAGGTGCCAGACTTCCCAAGCAGGAAAACAAAGTCCTCTGTTTCTCCACGGATTTGAGATAGGCCACATAGCAACAGACGACCCTGCCTTATTCCACCATAACACAATAGCTCTTTCTGGACGGATCGCACCTTAGGGTTTAAGTTTTTATGCCGTACACATCAGCAATTATCTAATGTGTTACCAACACAGGTGAGAAGAGCGCAGTTTCTTGTCATCTACCATGAACCTCTGAAAAAAACATTAGGATCTCTGCGAGAACTTCCTGTTTACTCCTAGGAATGACAGCGAGTTGCATAATTTATATACCTACCTACTAAGAAATTGCCTGCTGCCCTGACTTACTTCATAAACAGGTGCTGCAGTGTAGTGTGGGTTTGAGCTCATCTAGAGACCTGCATGTGCAGACACCATTAGGAGTTTTTCCACTGCTTGTTTTGAAGAACGGATTTAAAAAAAAAAAAAAAAAGAAAAAAAAAAGTAGTTTTCCTCTCCCTTGCGTATACGTGAAGATTAAACCAGGCAAAGTTTCATAGCACAAGTTCACAGTGTCCCTGCTGCTACATACTGACCTCCGTGTGAATGATCTCACCACACAAAGAATAACTGTGTGCAGTACCTTCAACACACGGGAATCCTTACTGAATGGAAATGTTTTCCGCACACGCTATAGGTCTACACGGAATGGTCTATATAACAGCTAATGCACTACAAATTTACAGCCTAACTTATAGCACACAAGCTTTTCCATGTAGACAAGTCACAAAGGACCAAACACTTGCTACAGAAAGCTCAGTATCAACTTCTACAAGCAGTTTCCAGCATCACCATGACCATGCTGTCCAGTACCTCCTCATAACCAGTAAAGCCAGAAACTATCATAAAAAATAGGAAATAAACAAAAAAAAAAAAACCCACAAGCACCATCACATTAAGGTTTCTATTACTATTATTACTGTTTCTATAGCAACTGTAATTGGGTCACGCTGTATTTTAAACATATGCCATTTAGTGTACAAGATACACAATTATATGAGCCTATCGATTTAGAAAGTCCAGAAAATACAATTAACTCCAAGTGTGTTACTGAGTTGCCCTAATCTTACGTAGCCTTCACAATAAATAGTCAGAAAATTATTTTTCTGCAGTTACAGAGGATTGAGTGAAAAAGAACGTCATTATTTCCGCAACTGGAACTAGGTTATGTCAACAGGACAGAAATGTCACTTCTAAGTTTCTTTGAACACTATACTTATGTTCTAGACAGCAGTCTAAAATATGGAAGGCCTCCAGAAAGAAGGATGAGGGAATGCTTTCCAAGGCTCACATAACTAAAAAAAACCCAAAACTAATTCCTTCAGTAAATATTTTTCCTTCACTAGAACTCAGAAATTTTCAGCCATAAAACCAGACAAGTTTCATTATTAGTACTGCAACAAGTTCCCTTCCTGCGCTGATGAGAAAGAAAGGCTCTTTCAGCAGACTTCTACAAACGTTCAACAACAAACCTCTTCCCAAGCAAAAACAAGTTCAGGCCAAAAATAACTTACAGAAGATAATCAGCTGGAGCGAAGGAAAAGAGAAATGTTGCCTCCTGGTCATCAACACAATCTGAAGTTAAGAACAAATACAACTCTCCAGTGTGGAAAGAAGACACAGAAACAGTAATAAGGAAGAAACAGAGACTAATCATTCCAAGACAAAAAGTCGTGGGGGTCTCCACCAACCCAGCAGGCTTTCGTTTCAAAAACGAAAGGAGGTAGGTTTTTCATGCACACTGTAGCCTAAGTATTTCTTGCTGCACTTACTGCAGAAAGTAGTACGGGACTAGAAGTTTGCATCGATTGATTCCAGAAGTCATCTTTTTTCCTTCCTATATTTCTTTTTTTTTTAGTCTACTGGGCTATTAAATACAAAACCATTTTGGATCAGTTGTTGGAACTTGGAAGAATATTCTGGGGAACTATCATTACACGAGTCTTTGTTTTATACATTTCCCTAGACATCTGCTACCGGCCCCTATAAGGGATATCATGCTAGATGATCCTTAAGAAGGCACAGGCATCAGACAAATATTTTTAGGCTTTGTCCCACCACTCTTCATTCCATTCTCCTCATTATTTCCCTCTCTCTGGCAGATAGGCACTGACTGTTAACTAATTTATAGATAAGATAGACTATTATCCCCAGATTTTTCTTATAGACCTGCCCAGCTTTGTACAGAGCATTAGAGAGAGACAGAAGACAAATCCAGGAGTCCAAAATCCCTTTCGTTAATAACTAAGTAGTTCACATTTGGGGTGTTATGAAGTTTTCTAACCTGATAAGAGCTCCTAATAGTTGCATACTGTTCTCTCTCAGACAATAAGAAGCTAACTTAAAATAACCTTTCACAGGTGCACAGTATTCAGAACTCTGAAAACCTTGTACTTAAACAGACTAGTAAAATTAAGAACTTTTACAATACCTATGGGGAGCCCCAGTGTTTTGGGGTTGGTTTTTTAAAAATAATATTCATATATAGCCAACATAATATTAAGTCTGTAACACTGGTTTCCATTCTGGAAAAGTGGCTAGAAAAGTATTCTCAAAAGGCTTCATTAGCTGAAGAAATAATCATGCAATGAGAAGTTAGTGTATGCTCTGACATTCCCACCACCTGCTACTATATTCATGAGGAGAGAAAAAAAAAAGCCGAGGAATGACTGCTTCATTACTGGTAGTATTAATTAATTGCTAGTGTTTCTATCTCTTCTCATTGCATACTGCCTTCTGTTGCATACATGAGGTAGCACTCATCCTTAAGCCCACCTGTAAATGAGACACCTATTTACCTTATTAATGGTCATTTTTCAGGATTAACCACTTAACATGAACATGCTTTTAGTGGGTTGCAGAGTCAGAAATACTCTTCCCACCTACTAAAAGTGTTCTGACTAGTGATTTTATAAGAACCACAGGACTTGTGTGTTTCTTAATACCATTTAAAGGCTTAATACTGTTCAAATGCTTGATGCAGAGCTTGGAGTAGGGACCACCATAACATATCACCTTTTAAGAAGCAATCAAAGGAGGGGCTGGGGGCAGTGACCTTTCTATGTGATTAATGACTAACTAACCGAGCCAGACTAGGAATTTTGAGAAATTATGCACTAAATAAGGTGTTAGTTTGAAAAGAATACATTTCAGTGTATATAGATTGTCACGCAGCAAGTTTTGACTTACTTATTAACCTAAGTTTTCATACTGCCATGTTAATCAACTTGACAAATATTATGGGTTCCCAATACAGGTAGATGGTAATAGCATGGCGTTCTTCAACAGAAACCTGGCACAGAAATGGATACAGGGAGTTCTGTAATTCGGCCCAGTTCTTCTCAGTCTTTTGGTAAAATCTTCACCGTTTTGTGTTCATCCCTTGTACATTCCATCTTTGTCTAAGCTCCACCTAGCAGTTATCCTTCACCCGGATGCTGGACCTAGCAAGGATCACGGAAGGGACTGAGATGTTATTGAGAGGAACGGGGTCTGGAGCGACAACCACTGGGGACAGTGGTTTGATGGATCTGATTTTGTAGAATGACACCAATCTTTTTTTCAACCTTTGTAAAGCTTGGGGATGGTTGCTGGTCACCGCATTAGGGGAAGGCAGGACCCTGATGTTGGGCTGACACTGCC